TCATCTTTCGAACAACAGTTAAATGGGAGCAGGTAAATTTAGATTAAAATAAATTGAAAAAGCTTTCATTGTTTCAATATTTTTTTCTTTAACATTAGCCGTTGTCTATTGATTATTTTTTTGTTGTTCTCAAATGCTAGTCTGTTGTTTGGAAATATTTAGACTGCGTTATGTGTGAAAAACATGACTAACACTTGATTCAATCATAATGGCATCATTTTTGTTWATGATAATAGTTTAGGTGCCTAGGACATAGTATTTCTTATGACGTGTTTATTTTTACTACATTTCCTGTATTCTAAAGAAATTAAACATGTTGAAAAGGCATGGGTATTCATTATAAACTATTTGAGCGCGATTCATATTCTATTGGTAAAACATCAGTGCTAATGTTTTATAGAACCTCTACTGACAACTACGTCTATAGTAGTATGGATGAAAATGGAGACAACATTCAGGCAAATGCCTACAACGTATACAAGCTTCTCAACAACTCAAATGATCAAACTAGTCTGAACACTTTTAATGAAAYGTTTCATTCAGGCACAAATAAATTGTACACATACAATTCAGCAGGTATACTGCCTACAGATAAATATACTTTATATGGTGGAAAAGAGCAATAAAGTGGTGGATATTGCTCTCTATTAAGACCTTTTTAAAGCTTTGAAAACTCTATAGCTGGTTGCTGTTCCTTGCTTTGCCTTATTGTGTTTCTGCTGCCTAATAACCTCTAATGATCACTGATTTTTTTATATATACAACAAAACCAATTTTACATGAAATCAAATTAATTTATATTTAATTTTAACATCACTTAACTTCTTTTGGGTAAATATCATTTAAAATCAAGCCTCCAGACTGGGAATCAAACTCAAGTCTTTTGGTAGGCAATTACCACTGAGCTAATAAATTGGTAGCACAGACCTAAAATGCTATTCTCTCCCTCCCAGTTTACGGTTAAAATTAGGTCTGCCTAGAGAGAATTTATTGCGACATATAGTATATTAAATGAGGTTAGACCTTAAGCTCTTTAACTACTATTAKTTACTGTAATATAAAAATTATAAAATTTAGTAAGGGCATACACATTTAAAATATCCAAGTATCCAAAAAATTTGAACTATTTTCTAACTTATAATTTTACATTGTATATTCCTATGATGCCTTCTTCATTTTAATGTACATATATAAAGTAAACATAGACAGGTAGATAATATGACTGGGTTTTTATGCAYCGTTGTGTAAAAATTCACTGATTTATGGTTTTGAGATTCCTTTTAGGATATAAAGGAGATAACAAATACATGTGTAGCATCCTCTTAATGACAATCCCATTAATTGAAGTCAATGTACAAAAACTGTGTATTTAGACTTATTGCTTGCATTACATTACAATTTTTTTATTGTTTAATCATGATGATTTTAGTTTCAAGAGGACATATGAGGCTGTCTTTGTCTTACAACGTATAACATAGTAAAAACTGTTGAGCATTGGACAGCTTAACTACCCCTCTGTATTTATAGTAATATTACCATAATTCCACAATCCATTGAGAATTACTTTATTTATGATTTAGCGTTTTCATTTAATTTACAACACTAACCAATTATTTTTAATATTAAATAAAAAAAAAAAAAAATTATCTTCACAGACTGATATTTAAATTATATTTTCCAAATACTAAAAATACTATGACACAGATAAAGTTCATCCCTAGTCTAATAAAATTTTGTTATTCTACTACAAATATAGAGGAGTGGTAAAATAGTCTTGTTCTCAACAGTTTTTGGTATTTTGTAAATTTATAAGATGGAGATTGGAGATAACACATGTGGTATAGCATTCTCTTAATCTTCATGGTTTTAATTGATGGAATTTTCAGTTATTTTCTGAGTTATTACATTAGTTTTGTATAGACAATTTAATTTATACTTAATGATATGGCTGCATTATTAAGCAACTTCTGAATTTCACAATGATTATACTATTTGTAAATGTATTAAATTGCGTATATCCATATTATTTGTATACATTGTATAAGATGAGAAGATAATTATTAAAAAGAAATTTGAAAATGGATTTATAAACAATGATGATTGATATACAGCTGAAAAATTAACGAGATTTTGTTACWRYWGTAACAAAAAAATAAATATATATATTTTTTTGTAAAATATTTATTTAAAAAGTTGTTTTGATTAAAAATATAAATATTATGATTCCTTTTAACTTAATATATTCTATTTTCATATTATGATGCCAATTTAAAAATTTAGTAGACTGCTTTTAAGCCACCTTTTAAAAACAATCAAAATGCATGCCATATACTTCTAGTATTWAAATGTAATTATATATATATATAAATATATAATAGGTATTAATGTTTATTTTTCAGGCTCGAGCCCCAAAAATGTGTATAATAAATCCTCCTCGATGTCTACCAAGAACAACACTGTGAAGTATAATTGCTCATCCACAATCAGCAACAACACAACAACAACGACCAAATCTTACACAGTCAATGAATGAGAGCGTCAGAATTCTTGTTGTTATCTTGCAATTACATTACCCATACACAAATATTTCCTTTTAAAATTATGTTGCTCCCCTCCATCTTAAACATTTGCACTTATTAATTTACACAAACACTAAAGACTTATCAAGAGCCAATAATTCATGTTTTATTGTTATTTATGTAAAGCACTAACAACCTTGATKTATTTGATTTACTGTATTATTGTCTGTACAATTTTGTTTTGTAACTTAATGATATATCAGAATATGCGTCCAACAACTATACTTATTTGGTTTTAATTGTATTCGGTGACATTATTCACAACAGTATCTTGTTTTTAACATAGTTCCTAAAACGAGTATATTATTATACATATTTGTATTTTAAATTTTTATTCACTCACTAAGTATTTGTTGTAGTGAATTAACAAAAATAATAATAATAAAAATCATTACTCAATATATATATATATATATATATATAATTATTTATGTATATCACGGTTAAAATAATCTTAATTTCCAAAATTCTAGTCAATTAAATCATTCAATTAGTAATTGTTTCAAGTTTTACAATCTTATCTCAAAAAAAAAAATATGGTTGTATTGCTGAAACTCAAAATTATTGATCTATCAAAATCAGTCTACATAAACCAATGACTAACCGTGCTTATTGTATTTTTAGATAATCTCTAACTTGGAAAGAGKTGTTTGTGCTAACTTTTTATATAAATAATCTAAATTAATAATTTTTTTTAATAGCCCAACGGCATTATCGCATTGTAGATATTATCCAATAAGTATTTACAACAGCAAAAACATCGAATTTTTACGCTCTGTGGACATAGACTTTTATTATGTATCATGATAAATGTATAAAAGATAATATATATATATATATATATTAGTAAGTTAAGAGTTGTCTGTACTAACAAAATGTATTATAAAAATTTGATCATAATACTTTAAAAATTAAATAACGTAACTGCAGTTATTTTTGTAATTTATATAAATTTTCTAAATGAATATATAATAAACATTATTTAAGTTTCAAAATTTAATTAATAGTTTTAAACATATTTTTTTTTTCATGAAAATTGTGAATTAAAGATATAAAAATTAACTATTGTGTAGTATTTAAATAAATTTGATATCTAATTCAAATATTCAATGATATGATAATAATATGCAATTGAAAGATTACTCGTGAATCATGATAGCTATTCAATTTTATATTGAAAACAATAAAATAGCTTTTATGAAATTATAGTAAATCTTTTTTAATKATGTACAAAGAGAAGAACTTTAAATAATATGTGTCCTTGTACACCTTTTCATGTCAAGATACCACTAAAATAGCAGCTGCACTGACATTTTCGGAAAACATTGATTATAAGATTTTGTTAGTATAAATGCCTACTCAATACTGTTAAAACTATAAATTATTATTGGTTTTTTTTAAATTTAAATTTAGTTTGAACTATTTAATTATGTTTCATACCAAATATATGAATTATATTTATTTTTGTATTTTGTTTTAACGTAATARTGAATTATATATATATTTACTATTAAAAACTAAATTGCAGACTAWTTCACAAATCTGTATGACAAGATTTTGTTTAATCATTATAATGATATTTTGATCTTGTATTAAACTTAAAGTTAAGTAAAAATGTTAAAATCAAATTGTCACATCAAWTAATGTTATATCATCACGTCACACATTTTGCCATCTAAATGTGTCGTTAAGTAAATATTTAGTTTTTTTTTTGCATAATTCTTTGAAACGGCTTAATACATTAACATTTTTTTACACCTAAAGTGTTTGTAACATGTTTATTTTTTCAATGACTAGCTAATTGTTGTAATTGTTAACATTAACTTTTATAGTACTCACCTTACTAATTAAAATTTTACATAAAAGAGTAATATTTATTTATTTATTTTCTATTAATTATTACAATTATTATTTTTTCATTGTGAATATTAACATTGTTATTAGTTATTTATTATACATATATATGTATATATATATTTATGTGTGTGTGTGTGTATAATAATATATAATATAAAAATAAATGTATGTATTTTCATTTAACTTAAAAAGCTTAATGTTAACCAGAAAACGAAGTCATTATTATTACATATTCTTGTTGATTAGAAAATTTAAGCATAATACGGATCATAATTATTGTAATATTGATAATTCTAGGTGAAACATACATAATTTACATGCACATTAATGATAAATGTATTGATTTCATTGTATCATCATCATCATTATTATTATTTTAAAAACTATACTGACATACTGTACTGTATTAATAAATAATGTTTTTGTGTCAAAAACTTGGTGTAGTGATGTAATCAATATACTTTCCATGCGYTTTAGGTCTAAACGTACTTAATGATTAGTTATTTTAATGGTGGTAAAATATAGTATCTATGATGCACAAAAAACAAAAAAAAACTAAAAATGTATAACATTGGGGGCTTAGTTTTTATTCTGTCAACTAAGGCTCTTGTATTGTTAACATACCTTATTATTATTATTGGTTTATTACATGTCATTTCTTAYATATTATAGAATTATGTGAGATGATAATCAAAAAAATTGTAATTTACACTCGGGAAAAATAAAAGTTTGTAAATAAATGTATGATGAAACGCCGTAGACGTTTAGACCAGGTCTACCGGTGCAACAGTAGTTTAAGTGCGTACATGGCGAGTGCTACAGCACMGTGCACTATCGCCGATGATCGCGCCGGTCCGGTCGCCGCGTTGCAGTTGTCCTCCTCACAGAAGCACATATGTCCTGTACCCGTTCCCTCCATCATGCACACGTGGTCAACCATGAACAGGTTGATTTGCAGTTGTGACGTGCACGTCCTCTTGATGCTCTCATATGCTGTGTGCGGAACCCATGAAACAATACAATAGGTTATTAATATTCAATTATTGATAACAGTGCAAAATATAATATTATTGACAGTTGAATGGTGTAGGAATATGGAATAAACGCAGTTGTAGTAAAATTGTAATGTTCTGTGGTAAAATAGAGTACCTAATATATATATATAAAGATTTTGGTGTTTTACGAGTGTCCATAATTGTGGTACCACAAGCTAAAATATTTTAYACGATTTTCTACACTTTCTATGAGACTTGATCGGTGGAAGAGAGGGGCTTAAATCGAAATGTTGACATTAATAAATAATTACCAAACGTTAAGTCAATTATTATATCAATATTTAACTTAAGATGTATTTCTATTCATTGGTTTTATATTACATATTTATAGCGATGAGTTTTCAGTGCTTTTTACGCTGTGGTGCAGATGGTCAGACTGATTGTTAATTATTATTACTATTACTGTTATAATTAGATTTTATTACTTTTGTGTTATTATTTATATGTTGTTGTAACTGCACCATATAATTTTAGGTTATAATATTGATTAATTTTTACAAAAGAAGAGACGATGTTTTCTTGTGAATTATACAATTTCTACTATAAAAATATACTTTTTTCTAAAAGGAAATACAAATGATAGAGCACTAATTGAATATCTCTACAATGTGTGTTGACCTCGACGGCTTGACGGAGAAAACAAAATATGGCACAAAAAGTACACAAAGTACAATCAGCTTTCAGTCAAATACACCATTTCAAAGAACTACCATTTTGGTTGSAAAACCCAAAAATTTGGTTTATACGGCCCGAGTCCCGTTTCGTAATGGCGAATATCACGGACAACGTGACCAAGTTCCATCACTTTGTCGGTGCGCTAGACGCGGACATCTTAACGTATGTATCAGATATCTTAGAAAAAAACACTGTCAATAGTAACAAACGCCTAAAACTKAAACAAGTACTCGCCGAGTGTTTATCGGAACCGGGAGAAAAAAAATTTAAAAAAGTTGCTGCGTGATTTAGAGCTATATATGTGATAAAAAAAACTTCTTTTTTTTTTATTGCGGGAAATGCAGCAGTTGGTGGGCGAACCGTCGACTGAAGATTTGTTGAAAAATGTATGGTTGTWGCATAGAATATAATTATATTGCCTATATTATTATATTCAATCATATTCTATAGTTGTAGCGCTTACCAATACAAGTACAAACTATACTTACGACAAGCGCGGATTCTTTGAGTAATTTGTCGAAGATGGCGGATAAAATCCCTGAAGTAAGTGCGAAATAAATACTATCGCAGCCCTAAACGCTGAGAATCAATACWCATGCAAAAGCAGTAATTCGCTTTCAATGTTTGAGCTATAAATTCTTTCAGTCACTAAAGCAATTTAAGAGTTAAATCRACGAGGGCGTAGGAATGACAAAAAAAATTTTAGAACCTACAGAAGAACAAAGTCCAATTCTCACGAATTCATGACAGTAGCGAGATAAGAGATGGTCTATGTTATTATCATTCTATAAGTTCAAAGATCAAACTAGAATATGCAAAGGCTCTTGGCGAAATTCACTCAAGCCACAACAAGACTAAAAACTAAAAAGCGAACCTTTCGAGAAGGCATCTGCAGGTTGTGCAGACACAACAAACCGCTTATTCGTAACTGATATCACCAGAAAACTAC